GGAAGTGGGTTAAAATTGAGTAACAAGATTTGAGGATACAACAGAGTGAGTTAATAAAAAGCGTGTAGTAATAATAATAAAAAAGAGGGCCCAGGGGCTCGATTCTAGACTCGGTCGCCTTTCTGTGGCCGAGTTTGTATGTTCCCCTGCTGTTTCCTCCGGGTTTCCCGGTTGTCTTCCCATACACACTGTCTTTGTGGTATTGGCCAAACACCCCAATGATGGGAAATTTATCTGTCAATTAATTGGCTTACACGTAGCAACATTGCCTCCTACTGAGAAAACTCGGCAGTGCCCTCCTGAATCAGGAGTTTAGACCGCTCACGATCATGTAATTTGTTTTAAATTTGGTAATATATTACAGATATTGCACTGCCCATACCCGTAGTCTGGGCACCATTAGGTGAAATAAATCTGATGGTAAAAAAAACAATCCGTGCAATAAATGAATGAGCAACGCAGAAGTTATCTGGCTGGTACAGGTGTCATGGGCATTTTTCCACCCGGCAAGGTAGAAACATGAAATAAACATTACTCGAAACATTTTACAGGACTTGTCTCTTTTGACCAACAACATAGCCTTATGCTGATTCCTTTAACATGGGTGCAGTGATAAAAAAGTAGTTAACATTTAAATAGTTGGCGTGGAATTCCTAATCGTTACCTACAATGACTGAGTGGCAGCCCAAGAGAATGTCCCCTCCTGAGATGGAGCGATTAAATTAGCTCGTTTGTAGGATGTGGTACATTACGACATTGAGAGATGTGGGGGTTACTTAGGCAACCTTTATCTAGCAGTGGATAAATCATTGTCGCTGCTGATAATTATTCTAATGAAAGGCACAGCTACTGATGGAACAAGCCAAAGGGGTTTTGAAGGATGATGTTTGCGAATAATAATGGTGTTATTTGCCCATCGGGGGCATCCCTGAGTCTTACGACTGCCAGGAGGTTCCTGCATTGGCATGTTTGGCCAATTTCATAAATGAGTGTGTTGCATCGTATGGGAGGAAACTGGACTACCCGGCAAAAACCCACCACTCAAAGGCCCACACACAACTGAAGTCAAGGGTCCATCTGCAATAATGGCACCAACGATGTTGTGTTCAATCTTCATTTGAAGCTTTCGTGACTGCAGTAATCCATACTCTTTGGTTCTTTCGGTAAAGTCACCTGAGGACGATCGCTTGTGTGACGATCGAAACGTCGTGATCTATTATTATTTTTCGATGTTTTGTTCTTTAATTAAACCTTGACTGATGAAGGAATCGCAGACGGTTGGGTGGCGTTTAAGGATACATTTTAAGTTCGTGCCTCATTTGTCCTTAATTTGTCCCCAATCGCAAAAGAAAACCGAAGCTTTTAAAATTTCAGTGGCGTTTCTTCAACGTTTTATTGGCCTTGACTCTATACAGCGACGCGTAGGATGTTGGTCACGTACACAGACAACGACAACGCACCGGGAAGAGATCTCTCCAGAAGCCTAAGTCGGTCGGCGGTCAACTGATCGTACATGCAAGTGGGAGCTCATTTACATCACCCTTTAATTTGATAAGATAGAGGTGCAGTCTTGCTACTACTTTCTCACGCCATTGCTGGCAGAGGTGTCCTAGAGGGCATTTGGCCTACTCTTCCACGCTGTGGCCAGGTGTTTTTGGAAAAGGCGAGAGTACCCACGCATTTTACCCCACCGAATGTGACCTGTGGTGAGCCCAGTTACACTGCTTGAGTGGACTGTGGTGGGGAGGGAGATTTACGAAATTGGCATCATCGTTCGAACTGCCGCGCCAGGATGATCGAACCTGACGAACTGAAGTCCGGTGTTGCTCACCATGAATGCCGCGGCAACACCACCTAATTTTAGTTTAAAAAAAAAAAGTACATCTTAACACCGACGAAGTTACCAACGTTCCAGACGTCATTATTAAATAAAACAAATCCGAATAATAAATGCAGCTTCTATTGTTACGAAAAAAAAGATCTGACTTTCAATATTTGTACAAGCCACAAAGCAAAGCGAACTCGTGCACGGGCAGTGTACACACAGTGGCTCACTCAGCCGTTTGGTTGCTTTTGACCACTTTTGGGTTCAAGCTGAATTGAATCAACAGGCAAGACATTCAATGGCAATGATGTACAGACTGGCCTCTTTTATATATATTTTACGCCCCATGATAGACTTTGGCCAATTTGTGGATAAAGCCAGCATTCAATCTCCCCCAATGTATTTGAGGGTTGCACCGCATGTTGCCACGGCATGATGTCTAACGTTTCGGATTGGAGCAACTAGAAGCATCTTCTTCAGGTACTCCAAATAAAACGCCAGGGGGGGGGGGCGGGGGGGGGGCGGAGGGGGTTACAGTACAACTCGAAACCACATTGCAGATTATCACATCCGGCAGTATTTGTGCGTTTACTCTTTACATGCATTTCGCATTGTTGTTTTGCCTCCTCTCAGTAAAAGCCACAGCAAATGCGAAGCGTCAGAGCGGGTGTCCGGCTTGCACACTGCGGTTTACAGCTCCTTGGGGCAGTGGGTAGCAATTCCTCATTCCTATGGGCAGGGCCGAGGCCTTTCAGAGATAAACCAACTTGTTGACCTATCCACAAAGTTGGTACCAACCTCGCAGCCTCGCCACGGCCAACAAGTCGAGAGCCGAGACTCACGTTTTAATAGCAATGTCCGCACGCCCTGCTGGTTTTGTTACGGTTAAGACTCATCAGTACACTTTAGCCGTCACCCGCTCTCTCCTGGCACGCGTGAGTGCGTGGGAAGGTCAAAGCCGTCTGCATGAATGTGTGTATTCGTGTCTAATGCGGCAGATAAATCCTTTTGGCCACGTACTTTTTATACCAGATGTATCCCTCCTAAGAAAAACACACACCCCATCTTCTGCCCTAATGTCGTGATAAGGCACGTCTTCCTCTTGTACAGCACCTTCGAGTGTTACTAAAATGAGTGGTAACTTAAAAACAAAAATCTGTACTTTTCGATTTAAAGCTTTCGTGACTGCAAGGATTCATCTTCTCTTGGTTCATTCGGTAAAGTCACCACGTAGAATGAGAATAAAACAATAAAATAAAACAATAAAATTCTCACAGAGCTCTGTCGTCCCGACAGGTTTGTTCCTTTCACCTGAAGAAGGCCACTTGTGTTGTGGCTGAAACGTCGTGAGAATTTTATTGTTTTATTTTATTCTTTTATTCTCATTCTACGTGACTTTACCGAAAGAACCAAAGAAGAAAAATCTGTACTTCAACACGACTGCCCGCGCAGCCCCTGATCCTTCGTATGTTCACACACAGCTGATGACAATGGCACAATTGTAGCTTTTTTTATGCGGTGTATTTTACTTTTCACTCCACATCACGTTGTCGGCTCAAATTATTAGTTGTGGAAGAAGTTTGTGAACAACACAACGGTACGACTCTTGAGACACATTGGGGAGCTACGCATGAACATACTCCACGCACATTGGTGGGATTTTTTTTCCAAAGGTGGCTGTTGTTCATGAGGTAACAATAACAAAGAGTAACCATTATATAAACCTAATTTTATAGTAACCATTTTCTAAAACCTAATTACAAAAGCACACCTTTTGAGTTAAACAGGCCTGCAAAGGTCAACGTCATTTTAAAGGCCCCGTGAAGGTCTAAGTGGCAAATTTGAAGAACCTTGCTAAGGTTGAAGCTGTGCTTTTTTTTGGCATTTTACAAAAAAATTGGATATCGTGATGTGTGCGTTTACCATTTACCATTGAAGATTTGTCACTTGAATACGCTGCGGTGATGCACGCATTCGCAATTTGCCATTCACAAAAAAACAGCTCGCTTCGCAGATGGTGAAGGCTTTGGGCCATCACGTAGATTTATCTTTTCTTTTAAAGGATTCACATTTGTAGGCCTATCCGATTCAAAAGGTGCACTTTCAAAAAGCGGGTTGTTGAAAGGTTGATGTTTTTTTTTACACTTGCCATCTTTCATATTTATTTTGGTGTTGCCCATGTGGAAAGCAGTGGTTAAAAGAAAATACACGTAGTTGCTAAGAATGACAGGTAAGATGGAAAAAAAATACCAGATGATTGCATTACAACAAAATAAACCACGCGTTTAATGGGTCAAAGAACCGTAAAATTGTAAAAAACTAAAATTGAAAATTGTCTAACAAAATAAGCAGTATCTAACTGCTTTTTCAAGGTAAAAAAACAAAAGTATACGATGAAATGTATCATTTAAATAATAAAACGTAGGTAAAAAAAAACATTTTAAATAAAAAAAACAGGTCTTTCAGCTGCAGTTACAATCTATATACAGTGTATTTTACTAATCAGTTTCTGTTTAAATGACAGGGTAGGAAAAGTAGCACGTGAACACAAAAGTGGAATGTGGTCCAATACTCTTAACTTAGCATCGTAATAAAAGCAGCCGGCGATTTTGGCCCAAAAAAGGTTACGAAGGAGGGAAAATACAGTTTGGGATTAGAATGTTGGTTCAGACTCATTTTCAAGGCATGAAGACTCTTGGCACAAGTGCACCGTGTTTTCGTTGGCCAGCCGTGCAATTCCTATCGCACAAACCACAACAAACATGTAAATTGATTGCCGCTCCTCACACAACACGAAAGAAAACTGCCACCCAGCAACAACAAAAATCCCCCCCAGATTAAACACTTTTCCAAAACTCTGGGCTCAACAGCCAGTGTCTCTCTCTCTCTCTCTTAGTGATACGGAAGAGTATTGTTGCGAGTGGGGACCAGTGTAATTCCACCCGTGCGAATAAAGCGCGGTGGCGGGATGTTGTCTCCCTCGCCCGGTATACAGGAGGTCGAGGGTTCGATCCCGACCCTTATGCCTGTATATTTGGAGTTTGCGTGTTCTCCCCGTGGTCACGTGGATTTTTCTCCGGGTCCTCCGGTTTCCCCCCCCCCTCCACATTTAGAATCAACGTCACGCGTTTAGAGTATTTGGCCGCTGTAAATTTCACTTGGTTGAGCTATCATTTGTCGCCAGGCGACTTATGAAAAAGAGCTGTGTGCCCTTACCTAGTAAAAAAAATAAAAAAAAGTTGGTTATTTTTAGTTTTTTCGTGTGTAGACCCCCCCCACACACTCCCCCGCTGTTCTGCGCAGTGTTCATGAGACTTCGGGCGGCGACGACGTCGCGACACGCTCGCCGGGCGCCGCGTGATTGGCCGCTCGCGGGGCGGCCGGCGTCCCCTCCTCGGCATCGCTGTCCGACTGCGAGCCCGACGCGGTCGCCGATCCCGAGGCGTCGGTCGAAGCTGGGGAGGGCGACGGCGCAGGAAGCGGCGGTCCCCCCGGTGCCGCCGCTTCCGTCGCCGCCACGGACGCCGGCGTCGGTGCCACGCGTCTGCGGCCTGTCGCCGCCGTCGCCGTCGCCGCCGTCGTCGTTTTGAGTTGGAACCACGCGTCGCCGAGCGCCTTGGCGAAGTGGTCGTCCACAGAGCCGGTGATGGACACCGAGTCAGCCTCACGGTAATCCTTGCCGAGGCTGCGGCGAAAGTGCTCCTCGATGACGGGATCCGACACCGCCGTCGCGTCCGACGGCTCGGACGCTGCGCGGAATTGCCGGCGCGCGCGCGCACACACACACACACACGCACACACACACACGCACACACACACACACACGCACGCACACACACGCACACACACACACACACGCACACACACACACACGCACACACACACACACACACGCACGCACACACACGCACACACACACACACACACGCACACACACGCACACACACACACACACGCACACACACACGCACACACGCACACACACACGCACACACGCACACACACACACACACACGCACACACACACGCACACACACACACACACGCACACACGCACACACACACACACACACGCACACACGCACACACACACGCACACACGCACACACACGCACACACGCACACACGCACACACACACACACACACGCACACACGCACGCAAGCACACACGCACACACACGTACACACACGCAAGCACACACGCACACACACACACGCACGCAAGCACACACACACACGCACACACACGCACACACGCACACACACGCACACACACGCACACACACACACGCACGCAAGCACACACACGCACACACGCACGCAAGCACACACACGCACGCACGCACGCAAGCACACACACGCACACACGCACGCAAGCACACACACGCACGCACGCAAGCACACACACGCACACACGCACGCAAGCACACACACGCACGCACACACGCGCGCACACACACACGCACGCACACACACGCACACACGCACACACACACGCACGCACACACACACACACGCACGCACACACACGCACACACGCACACACACGCACACACACGCACGCACACGCACGCACACACACACGTACACACGCGCGCACACACGCACACGTACACACGCGCGCACACACGCACGCGCGCACACACGCACACACACGCACGCACACACGCACACACGCGCGCACACGCACACACGCACACACGCACACACGCGCACACACACGTGCACACACACGCATGCACGGACACACGCACGTCCACGCACACACACATGCGCACACACAAATGCGCACACAAGCATACACGCACGCACGCGTAAAACATATCGGAATAAAAACAGTGCCCATGCATCCATTCTGGTCATTCAGACGTATTTAATTTGTGATAACACCATTATGTTTCAAGCCGCACAATGAGATGATGTCGTCACGTGGTGCATGACGTTTGCGTGATGACGCCACAAGTTGGGACGTCATTGAGAGGCGAGGCGCACGTGTGACACACAGAGATAACGTCAAACGTAATGACATCGTCGCATTGGCCAGCAAGGAGAACCTTTGAAGAGCTGCTCTTTTATCGCCAAGGTTGGCTAACCCTTTGATTAATTTAGCTGGTTTTAAGTCCGTAACAGCACCGCAACTCTCTTTTAAAATTGCGTTCACATCAAGTTATCGTTCAATCCCAGTCGGAAAGCGTTAAAGAGACAAAGATTTCCCATATTTCCATAGCACACTCTTTGGGCAAATAATGTTCGCGAGCACCTATGAAGGCCGGCAGATCAAATGAGGGGGCGGTGTGGCGAGCACCACACCTGGCGATGTTTGTCTCCCAAGAACTGATATTTGCAGACAAAACCAGGTATTAATTGAAGGCCGAGTCAACCTAGGGAAGGACCACAAACGGTTAGGACTTGCCACTGATGTTAGCCATGGCCTGGCATGGTACTCAGGTCACCAGGTTCGTAGCAGTGGGCTAACTGCCATGCCAAAGACAAATATCACCCGTATAGCCTTAACAGACTTTTGGAGCAAGAGCTGTTAGCAAGCACGTATGAAGGCCCGCATGGTACAAGAGGGGTTGAGTGGACAGCACCATGCCCGACCGCACCAGGTACTCATTAGAGGTTGACCGGTTCAGATAATCATCACGAGTGCCAATCGTCACGTCAGCGGAACTCGAGTCTCAAGGTTCGTTTGCGCAGCGTGTCAACCGCTGGACCACTGCGAGTGCGCGCGTTTACGCTCGTGTCCGGTTTACGTATTCATGAAAGCGGGGGAGATTTAAAATGCGCAGAATGTTTTGATCTTTGAGCGGCGAGCACATCCGCGCGTGAAATTACAAGTCACATTACCATTTACTTTATTTGCGTCGATATATTTCACATTTCTGCGTGGCGAATAATGCCGAAGCGCCGTCTAATGCGCCACAGATGCTGTGGCACATCAACGCGCGCGTGCGTGCGTGTACTTACGGACGTCTCCGCGCTTGTGTGATTTGTTGGGGCCCCTCAATGCGTGGCGGCTGCCGTGATGGTTTTTCTGATTGAGGGCCGGTGCGCACGTAATGACGGAGGGGCGCATCTTCACGACGCACACGTGACATGGGAACATGAAATTGCGACAGACGGTTGGTGAATTCTTTCCCACTTGTCATTTTGTTTTTTTCTCGGGGAGCGTAAAATTCGTTATCCTGGAAAAAAGAGTTAGCGAGTCGCCGCTTTCGGTGAACTTTGTACATAAAATAAGAACTTAATAAAAAAATATATACGAGTTGTCGGCCAATACAATCAAGATCTTCATCTCCTCAAAGTGACAGTATAACTACCTATCATGATATATTTATATTAACATTTAAACTTATATATCCACGCGCAAAAAACAAAGGATCCACATATACTTAGCTCTTTCGGTAAAGTCACGTTGAAGGGAAACAATAACGTGACTTTACCAAAAGAGCTAAGAATATGAATTACTGCAGTCACGAAAGCTTTAAATCAAAATTTAAAGGATCCACATTTAGCTTTACAGTGTCGAGGGAAGCGCCTGGTTGCAGAGCGTCCATGAAAAACCAGCAACAGGGGAGTGATGTGGGCAGGAACACGCCCGGCCGCCTTTGTCTCCTCGGTGCCGATGTTTTACACTTTTCGCACAAGGTACTCATTTAAGTCCAAGTCGACCCTTGCGAGGGCCAGGACACGTAGATGATACCGCTTGCCACCGCTGCTGCCACCACCAAAATGCTAACTCAGTCGTCAAGTCATCACGCAGCCTGCTAACTTGCTGTGCCACCTCTCCTCAAACACACACACAGGCAAATATTTGCACCCGTGCTCAGGTATACACATACGTATCAAGACGAGAACCACTCCTCAAGAACGAGTTTATCCAGATCTGTCTCATGTTTAGTCAGCAGCAACTTGGTGTGACAGGTTTAGAGGGTTTCCCAGCATCATCCCCGATGGTCCTAGCAGCATCCGCTGAGTCAACATCTTTAAAACGTTAACAAACCCCAAAAGGTATGAAGATAATGTGTCCTGTCCAACAACAGATAATGAAAATGACTGACAATACAGTTTATGATGATTGTTACTGGTGCAAAACATGCACCTATTCATTGATAAAATCGATTCTTAAGCTCATAACGCACCAAATCTTTTGTGTAAGAATCAACGGTTTCATATTCGTTTCTACTGTTTGTAAGAGGTTCACATATCCATCTCCAGCCACCAGAGCCCACTAGGATAACCGCAAACAAAAAATAACGGAATCTTGAACCGAACTATGACCTTGCATCATGACAGCTGCTTAAATAAACTTGACTTAACAATGGAGTGAGCGGCACGACAGAATTCTAAGCCATGCCGTGCCGCGTCACTCAAAGCAGTCGTTTGACCATACTTCACCAATGCTGGCAAATCGCGTTGGTAAAAGAGGGGGCTTGGGCCGGTTAAGGTATCACTCGCCACCGATGTTAACCATGGCCAGGAATCAAACTGGGGTTGCTAGGCTTGAAGCACACTGTGCCAACTACTTCACCGCCGCTCCCCCTATTAACATCAATGTACAAATTTCTTCCACGGTGAACCAGAAACCTGACTGCAAAATGCAGTTGAGGTTGAGCAATTTTTGTTTTTTATAATGAACTCGAATGAAATAAGTCGCCACACTTCGACCAAATTATAGGCTTAATGTGAAGCCCCGCATTAATGTGTAAATTAATGAGCCTGCAGAACCCAGGGTGCCCTCGAAGAATCTTGATAACCCATGAAATCCCATTGTCCAGAAAGCTGGCTTTTGTCGTGAGTAGGCGGATTAAGTGGCTGAAATGAATACGCAGCAAGTGCATTGTGCTGCCATCTGTGGGGAGATAATACAAAACAAACTTATCAAAAGTGGATTATAAATTATTCCATAGATTATTGAAGGAGAAGAAGAAAATAATCCAGCCAACAGGAGGGATCGTGCCCGAGAGGACATCCACCACGAAGATGGAACGATGAAATCCCAGCTCGGCTCGTGCACGCAAAAGCTACGGATGGATTGTCACATGGCAGAACCATGGATTTGATTATGGCCGATGATGATGGTGATGACAGGTTGCGTTCCCATGACTTCCAAGCCGCGAGAAGCACTACAATGCACCACAGTGTAATGTTTTTCATCAGGCCACCCTTCAATGTATCCAGTATTGAAGGGTGGCCTAGCTCATCAGCAGTCAGGCTTGTCACACTGGTTTTAAAGCCAATAAACCACTGTTCTGAGAGAATGTCATTTGTAAGAGGTCACAGAGCTAGCAGATTCCCGGAACTAATATTTACAATGTTGCTTTTTGCGTTGAACAAGGCCCCATAGTTCATGCGGAGTGTTCTTGACAATCTGGTAACCCAGCAGCATCGGTTTAACAAATCTGACCCATAAAGCTCCACAGCAACGCACGAGGAATTTCTGATTCCAGGACACTTTGCTGCCCTTTCACCTCCGCTACTGCACCTGCTGCTGTAGCACCGCCATCGTGCCGCGATGATGGAGGTGAACATCGTCTGCTGGGACGATCGGCCATGACGTGCCAGCTCCGTGGCAACACGGGGTCGCGCTCGGTCCATCGCCATGGCAACCGGGGGTCGCCGCCAGGTCGGCACCACCTCCTCCTCCTCCTCCTCCACTGTGGCTGTCGCCGGGGCGACGGAGCGAGGTGGCGGGGGGGACGGACCGCCGCCCGTCCGGGGAGAGTAGCCCACCGTCGTTCCGGCCCTCGGGCTGCTCGTCCCTGCGGGGCGCCTTGCTCCTGTCACGCGCACGCGCCCACAGCAGGGGAGGGCGGGAGGATTAGGCACTGCCGAGATAATTAGGCGCAGGTTTCAGTTTTCGTTAGGCGTCAGCGAAGCTCTCCGTTGCCGCAGCGATCGCGATGTCATCTTCGTCTTCACAGTTGTCGTTTTTTAAACAACAAACGCGATTGTTTTATTGACAATTGGGCAAAACACTCCAGCGCAGGATTGTGGGTAAATTATTATTATTTGGACTAATATAACATACAATTCACAACACATCATTATATTGTAGTATATTCGTGTTATACTTATGATCATTATTACATTGTATTCACGAATTCGTACCTTTCCTTTTTACTTGAAATTAATTATATGTTGGAGTTTAGTTGAAGTGATGGAATGTGATGATTGATGTCTTAGCCCAAAGTGTACATGGTAAATACGACGATAATAATTTTCAGCCCTACTCAATCAACTGCCGGATGAAGACCTCCCCACACCGCGTTGTTTGACTGAACTTCACCACGCCGATCAGTAAGGGTCGGTGAAGGGTGGAAGATATCATTCGCCACTGATGCAAGGCCCGTTGCTGGGCAAGTAATTTCAGGTTGGCAGGGTCATAGTGCAGTGCAGAAACCAATGTAACACCACTCCCCCTGACATAAATGCTGTATGTGAATTGTAGATGCTGTTAGGTTAAATTGAATAAATCAGGATTTTTTTTTGTTTTGTTATCAATCACCATTGGGAAAAGAACAAGGCTTTGATTTTTCGACTGAATTGCATCTTAATTTCCATCCAATTGACGAAGAAAATAAATGCATTACAAAAGTTTACTTACATTTTTCGAGGATGTATGATGCAGTGAGATTAATGTTACAGAGTGCATTTGTGTTACCCCTTTTAGACTAGGGAAAGCTACAAAGGTAACATATTTCAAGAAATTCCATTGGAAGGCATGTAAAGATTATGATCAGCAGCTTATGAAAGCCCTTACCCTCTGGGGAATATTGACAGCCACTCTGTACCTTTTTCCATGATGCCATGAACTCTAAATTTAAAACCTCTCGTGTGTATTATTTAACAAACACACTTATGCCAGTGGAATTTCCAGGCATTTAATACTTTAGGTACCAAATACGGTCAAAGCTTTTAATTAAGCACCATTCTTTGACAGGCGACATAAATGCTCAGGGGTCATAGAGCTGATGATCTCAGTCTGGTAACCAACGATGGCACAAAATCATGTTTTGGTCAAAATAATTTTTTTTTTAACTTACTTTGGCAAAAAAAAAAATCCAACCATCGTCAATGCGCGACGAACTTTTCTCTCGAGCAGTGTATGTGGGAAAGTGCATCGCCCGATGCGAACGAGAGGTCACCCGAAGTGGGCTCGGAGAGAGTTCTGTGGTATCACCCTCCACTGGCCGTTTTCTCATGTGGCATGAAGCACCGCTCCACAATTGTTCAGAAAACATTGTTGCGTCCGATGGCGTGACAGCGACAGCACAAATGGAATTAAATCGACAACTGCAAATAATATGTAAATAAACATATGACCTACCATTCCTTCCGTGGAATCCAGATAAATGCTTTTTGGTCATATGTATGCATATGCATCAATCGTTTATTTGCAAGGCTAAAGGAAATCTGGACTGGATTTTCGTTTAAAATTAGAACACATACATCAATGTTGAACGAGTGCATTAACAAACGCAGTTGTGTTTAAATGTTGTGTTGCAGTAGGAATGCTCCTCTGGCCCCTGGGCTAGGTAAGCCGAACACTGCGACAGTCATTAGGTAAAGGCAGCTACGTCGGAATGTACTTGGCTGCTAAATATGTTGGTCCAGAAAAACAACAAAACATTTAAGGCGTTTTACATACTTGTGATTTTTTTAAAAGTGTGTTTTAGGATCATTATTTTGACCATTCTCCTGTTTCAAAAAGTTCCTTATGAAACGTTCCCTATGCAACGTTAAATGGCTCATTTTATAGTAACATTGGAGGGACAGAACGGTGGTGCAGTGATTAGTGCACCCCAATTATAAACCCCAAGATTTTTTTTTCTTCTGAAAATATGGATTGGAGAACCAAATACATACATATAAACGGAAAAGACATTGACCGTCTCGAATTTGCTAATGATTCGGCCACTATAAAACCAACGGAAATTAACTGGAGGAAATGATTGAGGCGATGAGTAAATAAAGTTCACGATATATGCGATCGAACCCAAAAAAAAGGTGTTATGGATAATAACGGTTGCGAATGGCTACGTGTTAAAAACAAATCACGAAACAAACTGAAGATATTGGGTTAGAGGGAAGCAACTGGAAAATCCCACATAGCTGTGGCCCCCAACCAGCTTCATCAACCTCCTCTTCCCACCGCTGTGAAGCAAGATGAAACAATCCCCAGAGATTGACACGGCACGGAGAAGAAGCAATCCGTGCGGCAGCGGACTTGGAACGAGCTGTAAAATGATCACTTGCAACATTTTTTTAAAAGGATAGTCAATTCATGTGAATTTTAGCTTAAAAAAACAGATGATGAATCTCTCTCTCTCTCTCTCTGTGCCACGTCCTTGCTCAAAGACGACCGTGACCTTCCATCCAGCTCAATCCATGATATTACTCAAGAACTTTGTACGAGATACTCCAAGTTGATTAATACCTCAGTCAGTTTATTTTTCTGACTGTTAGTGAAATTGTTTTTCTTTCTACCTCGTACCTTACGGTCCCTAATTTTTGTTTCATATGTCCAGGCTTTGTGACCTTAGCGGGAAGCATGGACAATAAGTATGCATCATTTGCTACAGCGATTACATTTTACGTGCAATTAGGTGCCCTGCATAACGTATCGTGAAATATAATGTTCATGAAATGTCATCATTTGCACTGGGTGAACTAAATTATCAAGTTATATAACATCCTCCAGTGACAAGGACGATGCTTGCCCAGTCTTGTCATTGCATTTAACTGCCACAATGATTAATTAATTAAATTTATAAGGAAGACAGCCTAATGAATGAATCACAAGAATGTAGCTGTCCATGTGGCAAGTCACCCCCGCCAGTGATTTTGATGAATTGTTACGAATCAGGGTTGCTATTCGATTGAAGAACCGATTTGGTTAAATTGTTTCGTTCAGTATCTCGTTTGTGTTGTTTCTCACTTATTTCCTGTCTCATCTGAACAATTTGGTTCCCTCCATTAGTTTCAATGTTACGCTGACATATCAAGTGAATACAAGTACGGTCATGAAATCTTACACATGCAATTGAACGCGTGTATCAATAGCGTGAATCGGTCGTAATCTACTAATCGATGCATCGTCACATGGCAAAATGCAACCGCCAAGGCGGCCAACTGGCGATCGCACGCACGCACACGGCCTGCGAACTGGTGATTGCCCTTTTGCGCGATGGCGGTCAAAAACATCAAACTCTTCTCCGCGCCGCCGTACGGCAATTATCGGCTGCCAGTGTGCCATGCGGGGAGGCAGCCATCTATACAAGGTCCTATTCTCTCCTGTTTTTCGCCCGTGCAGTGTCTACACGTGCTACTGGATTTTGCTGCCTGGCTCCTGTTTTTTTTTTCCCCCTGGGTAGTTTCTTTTTCACTCTTCTCTCGTCAAAGACATGCCCTTAGTTAGGCCCATCCCTCCCCACCGCCGAGCCCGCGGAATTTTTCACCAAGGTCTTCTAAGGCATGGAGCAATGCGGTGCGTAGGGGCATTCACCAGAGCTCGTGCTCCACGCTCACCACGCACGCACACACGCCGCGCACGCACGGAAAAATGCCAAGAATGTTGGGGTCCTTGAGTGGAATGCAAGCGACTAGCCCAGACCCAAGTCCGCTTCATGTACATTTTTTTCAATTTTTTTACTTTTTTTTTACAAGCAAACTAACACGCCCAACATTCAGACTTTTCCTTCTTTCTTTTAGACGCAGGAATTGTTGGAATTTTGGGTTGACCTTGCGCCTCGCCAGGTGCCAAGGCTTATTCCAGGGTTCCCCCAGGCACAGCATCGCAGAAAAGAAACGTTGTTCATTCTTATTTATTTAGCTCGCCACTGTACTCAAAATTAATTAAAAAAGCTCTAATCAACGATGACTAACAGAAGTTCATGCAATTGGCATTCGCGCCATTCTCACGGCATAAAGTTGTCACAAAAACGATGTTTCAGGGACGCATATATTTGCCAGTAGGGGGGGCGATGTTGCAATCTGGTTTTGCACAATCAAGTTGTATGCTAGTATTAATAAAAAAATGCAAACTTGGACAGTGATGCCAGTGTGCATGGGCTACTCCTTTTTTTGACAAATATCACGAGAAACTTTAACGTCTGCCGTGAAACACATTTTACCGATGCAACTGCAGTATTATCCAGGGAAGCTGCCTGGGTTCGAACCATGGACCTGTGGCAAATGCGCTACTGCTCTGCAATGTCACCGATTTGGACCGGCATGCAAACCTCTGAAAATGCTTTGCGAAGAAGTTTTATATTTTTATTCCCATTATATACGGAGAGTGGACTTCGAAGAATCTGTCCTCCACTTAGACGCTGATATAGTTCCTCTTCGGCTGAAGAAAACACTTGAAGGGTGCTAGGGGAAGAGGGCGAAGACCGCTCTCTGACCGGACGTCAAACACCAAACACTGGACGGGATGGAAGCAAATCTCAGTTGAATGGCCCCAGCGATGGACAGAGAGAAGTGGAGTGAGCACTGCAAGGAGATATTGGTAGAGAAAACGGTAATTCTTCCACCGCCTAATTGACCAAGGGAATAGATGGAACTGGACAACCGACTCCTCAGAGTCTCTGCGAATGACCAAAGTGCAATTTCTCCTGCTGTAAATTTACATCAGTGACAATGTGACATCATCGTTCACAATGAACGGCCACTGTGTATCAAGATGAAAGCTTACGTCTTATTGTTTTGTTAGTTTTTGAAATAAAAAAATGATGCGTCCAAGTAATTGGATACTGTTGGTGCTCAAGCTACATGGTAGAAATTCAGAGAAATTATAAAATGTATAGTTTGTGACATTCCTGCATTCAACATTAAAATGCTATGAAAGCATGTTACAATTTTTTAAAACTATGTTACCAATTGTATTGCGATTGTGCTATCGGCATCGCGTCCGGAGCCCACAAACCCGAACGGAACACACGAAAATCCGTAAACAAATCAAGGTGAAATATGGGTGGTATTAATCGCAACTGATGGTAATTGGCCAGTTGTGGAATTCCACATGGCAGAGACCAGTCCTCTCCAGAAAACAACTGCAATAGGCGTTATGATAATGACAATTATAATAATTTCCATTATCATAATGCTTATTATTATTAACATTGGAGAGCCTCCCTGGTTTCATGTGGGATAATACCAAAGAACCCAGAGAAAACTCAGCACACATATGAAAGGGGCGTCACTCAACAGTGCCGTCTCATGCCAGCTCGCATCCCTATGCCTACAACACTTAGCCAGCCATGGCGGTCTCCCATCTAAGTACTTAAACAGGATCCAACCTGCTTAGCGTCTGAGATATGAATAGATCGGATGCATTTAGGGTGAGTTGGTGGTGGTAGGCAATGATGAAGCCTCACCAGGTCATGCTCATTTTGACTGACTCAAAAGCCATGATGACGATGACCAAACTTTAAGTGAGATATAAATCCGTGATCTTAGAAGCGAGTGCCCACGATTATTCACTGAATGAGATAAGCCTTGCTTGGAATGCTAGATGTGGCTTTAACAATTATATCTTTGGTTCTCTGTTATGCGGTAAAGAAGGTTCCACATTTCCCGGACCGCTTGGCAACGGAGCTTCCTCGGTGTTTGAACTGGTCCAGTCCTTATGAGCCCAGTCCTCCCAGGTTGGACCTGTGGCAAGTGAGAGCTCGGAAAACCTATAACCCCTGACCTCCTTTCTCACAATCCTACAGCGCACTATCACCCCAGGCTGACCCCAGGAAGAGTTGCGGTGTCAAGGGGTCATCGGAGAAGACAAACAAGTTTCCTGCGACATCATTCACTTGGTTTAACTTCTGGGCCAAGTTGGTGTTAAAACCACACAGTGGATAATTACAGGCAATACTGATTGTGACATAGGTTGTAACTCATGCTTGCATGAACCATTAAATGCCTTTCAAACAAACATACATTTGAAAAAAAACCTGTCATCCCAATAGTATTCAAATTCTGCTGTCGGCATCATGTCAGGAGATGAAGAAGGGTCCATACTGAACTCTCGCCGAGCAGTGCATAACCCCGTGTTAAAAAGCAGTCCGAAGAAGGAGAAATCATCAAACTACTTCTGGGATTTGACATCACATGACAGTCAAACATATGTATTTAATTGTCAGAGCTAGAACTCTGCAAACTTAAGTGAAAACCCACATTTAATGACTTGGTGTAGTTGTTGGTAGCTGGGCTGAAATCATCAAATTTCTAGACGAATTCGTCAATAACAATGTCCTTAATAGGATAAATATATATTCGGAGACATGTCAGGCAATAGCCCTTCTTCATTGCACATAAAAGGAACCTGGTTCAATCACGGGTGGCTGAAACCTGGATTTGAACTTAGCATATCGGCGGTGCCGGCTCAGTGCTCTGACCCGAGCCATTTGGCCACCTCGGTTTTAAAGATCGCCTCCTGACCCTAACCCCATGAGGATACCGACAGGAGCAAGGGGCACTGGGGAAACTTTAGGTGAGAAACCTAAACACAGATAGGGCTCACGAAGCATTGCACACACACCAATCAGAGCCCTTGCACTGACCTTGGGCCGGTCATGGGCCAAGCCGGCCATTAGGTCATGGCTACGAATCAGCGAGTAGCCCTTGGGATAGCAAACGAACAAACTGGCAGCTTACAAGTTGAGGGGGCCTGTGCGGCTCGACTGCAGCAGCAGCAGCTCCTGGGCCTCGGGGGTGGCGGCACGCTTCCGCTTGGGGCCCGAGGCACCAGGGGACGGCGGAGACCTTTCGTGAGTGGTGAGCGCGAGCGGAGCCGACTGACACCGCTGCTGCCCACCTCCTCCTCCGTTGCCACTCCCTCCAGTGCTTGCATTGCCGAGTCTATCAGCCACACCTGCACAGCAAGAAAGGCAAGGCGAGAGCAATACGTGCGCACAATTAACAAACGAAAAAACGCACACACGAATATCAATAACTGTTGCGTGGGTTTTCGCGGCTGCGCTCTACAGCTCTCCGACCTGTTTTGTTGGGTTGCACCACGTGTTGTTTGGTATGATGGCCGACGTTTCGCTCCACGAGCCAGGAGCTGTTGCAGCACGTGCAGCGAAACGTCGGTTTATCGTGCCGAACAACAAGCAGTGCAGCCCGAAAACCACCTTGGAGAGCTACACGAATACCACAATTATTATCGTCACCATTTATAATTTTGCTTTTGATTATTAAGATCATCATTACCATTTGTACGCATTTTTATAAATCTTAGCAGAAGAGATTATGAAGACAAATAGATCCACGTAAATGTATGTCCTTGAAGCCAAAACATTGCGACAAGCAGGTTAAACTCATTGTATAGTGGTGGCCGTGGATTTATTTTGCTGTTTTGCGCTGAACAGATCCAATAGCTGGAGTGAATGGATTTTGTCAATAACATCTGGCAACACAGCAGAATTGTCACGATAATGTCTGAAACCGCTGATGAGACCCCGATCGTCTAAACCAGTCCAGAGTTTGTCTGGTTAAACAAATACTTCTGTTGGTCTGGAAACCCCAAAGGCTGATGGACCAAAAATAACATTGTCGGTCTACACACGAAAACTAAAAATAAACAATTTTTTTTTTACTAGGTAAGGCCTACTGAGCTATATAGCTATTTTAAGAAGCGACCTGGCAACAAATGATAGCCCAACTTAGTGGTTTATCATCACGTGGAATGCATAGCAGCCAAATACTCTAAACGCGTGTTGATTCTAAATATGGAGTGAAAACCTGGAGGAAAAGCCACCCAACCACAGGAGGAACATGCGAACTCCAAATATACAGGGGTCAGGATCGGGATAGAACCAACGACCTCCAGTATAGTTAACATCTCTTCACTTAGCAGAGTTTCTCAGACACCGGGATGGGGTGTGGGGGGATAGGGGCTCATGGTAGGGTTTACAAATTTCTCATCATTAGAGAGTCGACATAATGAGTCCCCACGCTTTAGTTTTCAACGTACTGTAGCCACAAAAATGACAACACAATCTTCCGGGAAGTCAAAGTGAAAGCAAAAGCACAAGTAAAGGAACGTTTCTCATTTGCATACCGAGCCAACACCTCACAATCTGAGAATGTAAACATTGTCATTGAACATTTATTTTGACAACTGCAATTACACTTCACGATGCTTGCCGTCCGAGTTCACGTTTGGCGCGTACCCAGTGTCCGATGCGATTGTGCAATTGCATGATTTGTCTTTCAAGCACCGGATAGGTGGGAGGCATGGAATTCAGACATCGCTCCATGAGACGAACTGAGCAAATTAAAATAAATATTGCTTCTCCCTTGTGCAGATACGCAGGTGTAGTATGTTTGTTTTATTTGCAACATGACAATAATAACAATGCCCTTGTTTGTTTAACACATAGGCTTTCGTGACCAATATTATCCATAAGAGAGGTTTTGGGTTATATCGCGTAGATAAAAACGTGTCGGTAAAAAATATAAATGTCGTTAATTGGCATGTTTTGTTTACCTGACAAACCTGACGAATTGGCTGTGTCGGGTGGTGGCGGGTTTTATGACACATTCATATTTACGTGATCTAACCCAAAAGTGTCTATTATGGATAATGCCTTTGTTTATCCAGGAAAACTTCAGTCATGAAACTATATCTTTTTTTTACTCAAAGTTCTACGCAGAATATTTTATGGTTCTTTCGGTAAAGTCACGCAGATAGAAGAAAAAATAATGACAATAAAATAATAAAAATGAAAATAAAGTGAATACAAAATATCATGACGTTTCGATCGCAACACAAAGCAATCGTCATCCCCCTCGTTTTTCTCCTGATGACGATTGCTTGTGTTGCGATTGAAACGTCGTGATATTTTTTATTATTTTTTATTCACTTTATTAAAAAAAATTGTTATAATTTTTTCTATCTACGTGACTTTACCGAAAGAACCATAGAATCTGAATTCCTGCAGTCACGAAAGTTTTAAGTCAAAATTTCTACGCGGAAATCTTAAATCCACTTGCCGCACTGCCATATCCTGGCCACCTCATGGCCCAACAATATTGTTTGCTCTGTTGGGTATTCAAAAATAATACCGCAGTGATAAATAATGTTCAGGCCTTTGTCAATCTACTGCTGGATGAGGCCTGCCCATACTCTTGTCACAATGCTAATTTTTAAACCATACTTCACTTGCTGGCGAGTGCAGAGAGGGGGCCCCAGACTGAGCACTGGCTAAGATATCACTTGCTTTCGTGACTGCAATGATTCATCTTCTTTGGTTCTTTCGGTAAAGTCACGTAGAATGAGAATAAAATAATAAATTGATAAAATAAAATAACACAATAATATTCTCACGACGTTTCGGCCACAACACAAGCGGCCTTCAGCGCTGTGCTACCAGACAGTCTCGTCCCTTCACCTGATGAAGGCCGCTTGTGTTGTGGCCGAAACGTCGTGAGAATATTATTGTGTTATTATATTTTATCAATTTATTATTTTATTCTCATTCTACGTGACTTTACCGAAAGAACCAAAGAAGATGATATCACTTGCTGTCGCCGGGAACAAAACCTCGGTCGTTGGCACAGTGCCGCCACAATGTTTTCCTGTTGTGCGGTGCTTCAATTTTAACCGTTGTTTGCATCAGCCCCTCAATTTGGCTCGTTGAAGAATCACGAGTATTAACGACAACGTATGTAAGCTATTTACACATTGCCAAATGTATCCGTGTATCTAAATGGTAATGTACAAATGTTACCCCATGCCCTTAGAACACATTCTGGCTGATATCCTGGATTATATAACCGGAGTGGATTTGGGAGGTTGCTCATCCTGGTGTGAACATTTCACCCGGCAGTGTGTACATCGACAAAGGGGGGCGGCTTTGTAAGACGATTATACACGCACAGAAATAACCATGAATATAAACACGGCACACGTTAGCCATCCAATGCCATACGCCACCGACAATAAGAGGGACAATCGGTGTTCGCGTCATGCGGCATTTCTCAAGGAATGTTCAGCGCTCTAATGGCAATGGCATATTTTCGTTGTGACAATTCCTGTATATTTTCGCACACAGAGCATACAGGAGCACCAACCTTTGGTCTATTTAAATGGGATCGAACCCTAGCTGAATGTGAGCTGCAGTTGCAAGAGATTAACTGTGGCAGCTTCTGACAAGCTGGAATTGCGCTCGGATTTGTGGAATAAATAGGTCTGGGAATTGTTCTTTATAGGATTATGACATGTTTGAAACCGTATGTTGTAACACAGATGAATAGTGAGGTATTTACAACAGATTAGAGTCATGGGAATTAGCTGGAATTTTTTTTAATTTCATTAGCGCTGAAAAAAATCACAATAAATATATCGAGCACGCTAATTGTGACATCTGTACATTGTATATATATACACACACACACAACACACACGGCATCTTAAAAAAAATACTCAAGATGCACTATTAATAATTTAATGGGAAAAAAAATCTGACTCAAACACCGCACACAACTGCAGTGTATAATTTAGCTGAATTCAAATAAATCTTCAGCAATAAGGCTAATATCTTGAACTACAATTGTCCCCCACCACCCCTCACCCCCTTTATGCAGGAACAAAAAACCCCAGCCATGTGTGTGTACACAAAGCAGTGTCTACAATTTATTCAAAATAGGTGGATACCGGAAGAGACAGACAATCAGTCAGACGTGTAAAATGTCAGACAGGTTTACGCAGGCAGATGAGTTAGATCGTACAACAGGAATCCAGGACAGCAGCAGTTGTCATTGGGGGTGGGTTGGAGGGGGGAAGCCCAAATAAACAGGAAAACGTCGAAACTAAGCACAATGCCATCATCCCATCTATTCAATGGTTAAGTTCATTACAACTCGCAATATGGTACACCCCCATCATCACAAGATCACTGAGCGATCTGTCTGAACACGACACTCTGTGGTACACTTTGTTCTTGTTTTCTTTAACGGTGTTTATGAGCTCCCACGTTTTTTTTTTACCAAGGATGCGATTTCTACTTACAAAATATTACCGCCCAAGTGTTTGCGTTCTGCGGCAATACAAAACACACAGTGCCCGGGGTAATTGTTTTGGCGGACGCAACCGACCCCGCTCACGAGCAACCGCGACTTCTGCTTTGCGTGTTGTAAGATCACGCGAGGACATAGAGGGACACCGTGGTGACGCAACACAAATCTGATATCAGTAATCCGGCAGGGAACGGGATGGGTTCATCCTGAGAGCACGCAGCCACTCTGTCCAACCAGTGAATGGTCCCCGGCGATCTGTGGGTAGATTACAAGATAGCATCCACGAAAATCGCCCCGACTTCATCGTGGACACGAGGAGTTCTACTGCACGAGAATTATATTAAAATCTACACAACCGCTGGCTACTAACTCAACACCAAGCCAACCATTAATGCGCTGTGGTGGATTTAAAGGGTTCGCCATTAGCATAATCCGCATTATGCATTTACGTCACCTTCTATAAGGGAGGAAAACAATAATCACGACGATTTTTTGTTAAGATTGCGTGGGTGTTTCTTAGCCATACCTCAACAAAATCAAACAAATTACGTAGTGATACCGCATTGGCAGTGGCGCATGAGCACAAGACAAAACAAGGCCGTAGCCATGGAGTCAACATTGGGGGGGACCAAATCTTCCAGGGTGTCTGGGGATCCCAACCCAGAAAAATATCTAAATTTGAAAACTAATTTCCTGCCTAAAATATTAAAAAAAAATCACTAACACATGGGATGGACTTTTCTTTATTTTTTACAATGTCTAATAGTGTATTGTATTACATTGCTCTGTTTTTACTTTTTAACCATTTTTTGTTTTATTGTTTGTAATGGCAGGGATTAGGGATTAATAAAGAACAACCATAACCACAATCATATAAACAGAAATCTATGCATTGATTTATATGAAGACAAGTCCAGATATTGTGGCCAAGGTTTATCAAATAGTTTTTTATTTATTTACATAGCATAGCAATTGTGTTTTATAGCAATAAATTGGGGGTGACATTTTGAGCATATTTAATTACGGCCTTGAGACAAAATAACACAACACGTGTCAATAAACACTGTGTGGCCTTAAAAGAAAAAGTTAAATGTAGAATAGACGTTGCGTGCAATGGACATTCTTTATAGCAAACTTGTTGGAGATGTGCATCCCCAGTTAGCTGTAGCACAGTCTGTGCTGAAAATTCTACGTCACCTTGCAGGTGCCGATTAAATCATTATTAAGACAAAGCCAAACTTAGTGCAGGCTACTTATTACGAAACATAGTGATTGGGAATAACAATACCGAAGAGCAGCATTGTTAGTTACATATCAGGCCATTATAATATGGTTTTGTCAGGAAGGAATAGCGGTGGTGCAGTGGTTAGTTGCACTGTTCGATGAAACCGGCGAGCCCGAGTTAGATTCCCGGTCAAGGCTAACTAACATCATTGGCGAGTGGTGTCAGAACCAGTCCTGGGCCTTCTCACTTCACCGACCTGCACCGACGAGTGTGGGTCGGTTGGTGGGATATGGTCAAACAACCCCCATGGCCAAACATGGCAAGGGGAGGCCTGTTATCCATAAGTGGATTGACAAAGGGCTCTACAGGACATTATTATTGCGAGTGCATTGGGTTTCGCGGTTGTGCTGTATAGCTCTCTGATGTGCTTTCAAGCTGCGTGTAACGCGTGTAGTGATATTATTGTTGTAATAATGAGTTTTCAGGGGGCAGAATGCCTTCAGCCAGCTCTTGAGTGTAAAAAGCCATACCAAAAATGTATTATCAAGTAATGTAAGCGCCCATTTGGATATTTGGAATTCATTATGTAAAAACTATATTCTGTACGTTAATGAATGTATTTCATCGATGGCCTTTGTAACATGTCTGATTAAAGTAAGAGTGCATCAGTGGTGCTCTTTAAAAAAAAATCTAAATGTTGCGTCCTATACTTAGAGTGTAGATTATTCATAATATTTCACAACTTCAAGGGCAGGCAATAGTTTAGTTTGTGCATGACATAACCGTTTGAAAACGATTTTAATGCTCGAAAGAAACTAGCCGTTTAAAAATAACGGCACTCCTGTTCTGTGAAATACGAGCAAATACAATTGCACATTAATTATTCAGGAAATTCAACAGCTTAATGATTGTGTAGGGTTTTTTTTTTCAAAGTGAAAAGAAGATTAGGTAAGACAGGGTTGGGCATTGTAGTTGTAGGCACAACCGCCTCTGCCCTGCCTCCCTGCTGTGAAGACAAGCAAGCCTTACTCCTAATCCTCCCCACGCCATCTGCTTGTTCAGATAATGAGGGGGGCCTGGGAGGGAGGGAGGGAGGGGGGCCTGGGAGGAGGATTCAGGGCATGGTAGGCTGTGGTTGTCAGTTCTTCTTACCTTAATCCGCTGGCCACCTGCCCCATAGGACCGCTGCCACATGTTTAACGACGTGGCCACTCGCATATCACAAGGCGGGCTCCCCCCTTTTCCCTTGAGGACGGACGCAGCGGTCGACTCGACGAGTCTCGACGAGTCTCGACGCGACGCGAAAAGCCACAGAAGCTTTTTGTCGCCGGAGAGCCTCGCCGGCCGGTCGGCGTGCGCACCCAGCAAAGCGCGTTCAGGTGCGCGCCGGCGCAATAACCGAATTGTGTCAAAGCTGGCCCCGGTGAATTTCATATGAGCCATGTTTAAAAGGCAACGTTTTTGCTCTCTTTTTTTTTTGCTCTCTGGCATACACAGCCGCCTCCCTTGGTCTAACAGGAATTTGTGGAAACCATCGAGCCAATTGTTCTCGCAGCCCCCCCCCCCCCAAATCAAGGCCACTGGTGCCCATGTGCCCCCACCCGATGGCACAACCAAGATCACTATACAGAGAGATCACGTGTCCACACGTCAACACGGTGTCAATAAGGCATTTGCTTCACCGTGTGCAGGAGCGCGATTTTTTTTGCTTGCCGAAACGTTGACGCCGATGTTCTCCCGTGCGTGTTCGACATTTCTCCTGCACCGGTGTCCATGGCTGCTGCTCGCTGTTTGCCCCCCTTACCTTGAAAGGCGTATGGGGCGCCCGCGCGGGAGGCAAAGACCCGCAATTTTTGTTTTTTTTAAAGCCGCTACATTAACGCGGTCCACGGCAATAGGTGCAGTGGGATGAGGGCCTCCCCATGACCACTACTTTATCGCGCTTGGTCAGTCGCCGATGATGGTGAAGGTGTCAAAGACTTGGAAGCAAGCTCTATAACCCCACCACCACCAACCTCGGACTTCATCAGACACGCACAAGAGTGGCTTAACGGGACGGGCACATTCGCCGCTACAGCAGCAGCAGCAGCTTTTGTGGTGCTGCCCTCTGTTGCCCCATAGCAGCCTATAACAACCTGTCAAGCATGGTGGTCGCCCATCCAAGTGCTTTCCAGGTTCAAAGCTGCTTAGCATCCCGTGTGATTGGTCATAGGCGTCCCGACTAAATATTAGTACATTCAAAGTATTAGGGCCATCAGCGTGTTATACTTGTATGTTAATAAGCGGGATTCAATTTAACACGGTAAAATACGTAACAACTTTGGAGCCATTGCACGTAAAAGTAGAACGCGTGCTGCATTATGTAATCTATATTATTGCGATCATGACACCATGGAATAATATATGTCCAGGGGGCGCAGCTCTACAGTGTGAAGGTTACGAGTTCAAATTCTGGTCCGGGGATCCACTCACAATTCTTCATCCCTCCGGGGCAGATAAAGCAAGGACCACGTAGTTGGGGCAGTCAAGAGTGATTTAACCCCATGGAATGACTCACTCCTGCCATAGGAATGTGACATTTCCAACTCTGGCTCAGTGTGCACAAAACCGGATGAGTGCTGCCCGACTCCCGGCAATTGAGTGTGAAATAACCCTGCAGTTTTAAATGCAAATTCTTTCATGGACAGAGGAAACCCTTTGGCGAATCCACTGCTTCATGACGGCGCCTCTGTGGCGTGTCATTCCTGGGAGGTTTAAAAAAAGACAATTTCACCAAGCTGGTCGGTTATAAAAGTACGGGCCGCAGGACCGGTTCTGGTATTAGTCGCCGGTGTTAGCCACGATCAGGAATTAAACTCAAATCTCTGGGTTCATTGTGTAGTGTGCCAACCAATCTACATTTTTAAAATATATTTTTTGTTATATATAAAAAAAGTTAAATCACATCTACTACTGTAAGATAAAAAGAATCATGGTTTATCTCAGTTAACAACCAAGCATAAATCCACATATCTAGAGTACCATCTCTCTTTATCTGTGACATGCCCATTCTCAAAGACGCCTTCAATCATGGCCTTGCTTCCACATTCAGCTTCTGTCCCATGACGTTTACTCAATAACTTTGTACCAGATGCCCCTGGTTGCATCGAATCGTTCAAATCGCTTACGTTAACCCTACTTGCTACCCTGACTCCGGTCTTCTTGTACTACTTACTCCACAGTACTGCACCAAAACGTATATATTTTTTACGTGTAATTTTCCACTCGGGTGTTTACGACGATGCGATGTCGCGCGTCTTTGATCAGAGCGTCGCCCTCGGACGCTCAATGCATTTCTGCGCGAGACACAAGGCGAGAGGGCACGCGAAGCGAGGAACAATACACCGTGTGTGTGTGTGCGTGCGTGCGCGCATTCAAGGCTATAAACGCATGCAAGCAAGCATCGGCAGCAGCAGTGCCATCACGGAGTCCCAGCACCCACGAGCATGGATTTATTGAGGTCAGATGAAAACATTCCTGCACACTACCATTACCATAACGCCACATTGCAGTGCGGAACGCTTATCTCCGTTTGTAGTTTTATTGCAGCCGACCTGTCATTCAGCAATCCCGTTAATGGACAAGGCCGCCCATAACCCACCACCCTCGCAGCCATAAATAGTTCTGAAGTTCGGGGTTTTTCTGCCATTTACAACCGCGGGAAGTGGCGAGCACTGCTCCTGTAAAGTAGGAAGACGTCGTAGAGATGATGATTTTCCCTTGCGCGCACGCACATATAACAAAGAGGTGGGGGGTGAGGGATATTAGCGAATGCCCCCACCCCTCGCATGCTATGCGAAACGCTCACCCCCCCCCCCCCACACATCCACCCACCAGCAACCACAGCGACCTGCGTCCCGTCTCGCCGCTCTATAACCCCACAACCACCACCCACCACGGACTTCATCAGATGCGCACAAGAGTGGCTTAACGGGACGGGCACATTCCCCGCTACAGCAGCAGCAGCAGCCTGGAGCGTCGCTAACCGATCCCCGCTTGTCGATCAACGGCGTGAGGGAATCGACTCGACCGCCACAAACGCCGAGAAAGATAGCGGCGCAGTGCGAGGGGAAAACAACGAAGACGACCACCACCACGACCACCACCACCATCATCATCACCTCCTCCTCTCCACCCCCCCGCCCAGCCCGCCGATGACAGCGCTTCCTCGGCTGTCCTTACCGTGAAGGTGGAGTGCCACGGTCTGGCTCGGGGCTTTGTGGGCACTCGAGAGCGCGTCTCCTTCTTCCTTGAACGACGGCTGCACGCAGCTTGCCAGCTCCATGTCTTCTCTTTCCCCAAACACCACACCACTCTCTCTCTCTCCCGGGGGTCCTCGTGGGAACGCCTGCCAAGGTCTCTCCCTCTCTCAAGGCGCTGTTGTTGTTGTCAGCTCTCACGAAAATGAACTCGAGGGGAGTTGCCCGTTGTCCCTTAACAAAAAAAAAGCTTCGCAAACTAAAGTGATGTCGCGATACTGCGAGCTCAGGAAAGCGCCTCTCAACGAAAAACAATTTAAAACCGAAATCGGCCTCACGTGTGCGTGGAGAACTTGTCAACTTAAATCTCTCTCGAAACTTGCCCGTCGCCAAAGTCACCGTCGATGATAAAGCGGCGACATTCGGTCAGTTGAACAAAAATCTAAAATATATTCTTGTTGTTGTCTTAACGCTAATAACGCGTGACGTTTAACGCATGACGTGCGCGACTATCCATCCTCTGCGTGGCTCTCAGCGGAGCTTCACGCTGCCTTTGCCGATTGCCCTCGCCGGAGCAGGAGGTTTGAGCCCGGGAGGACAGAAGAGGGGGGGGGGTAGGGCAAGTTGGGAGGTGGCATTTGAAGTGGGGTGGGGTGGGCGAGCGTAGGCGATGGTGGTGGTGTTTGGTGGCGGGAGGATGGAGGAGGAAGGAGGAGGGCATGCGGCTGATGTAAAGAATGGGTGGGTGGGTGGGGCGGGCGCTGAGTCCACAGTGGGGCTGATTTAGGTGCGAACTCAAAACATCTTCAGCCGATAAGCTCGAAAGCCGCAAGCAAATAATTCAAACACAACAGCAAAAAAAATCTCGCAGCTGACCGCGCGCGCACACAACGACCCCGCCGAACGAACAAAACCCCCCAAAAAATATCCGCTATCGTGTCAAACCGAGCATGCCCGGCCAGACTCCGCAAGCCTACCGTTGATTAGCGAAATGGCTGAAAAAAAACGAAAGGCGAGAGACGGAGACAAGAGAGAGAGAGAGACTCGCTCCAGGTGAAAGATTCTTTTTCGACGCTGCCATTGGCCCTCATCCTAGCGAGGCGTACCCCGCTAGGATGATGAGGAGGAGGAGGAGGCATGGGGCGTGTTGGGTGTGGGTGGCGGTGCAACGCAACCCGGTGTAGGGTAGGGTGGGAGTGGAGGTGAGGGGGGGGGGCTTTTCCATTTATTACATTTTTTAAAATCCTCTCCCTGTCTCAAACCTCCTCCCCTGCTTTTACAATCCCTTCTCAGCCAGCTGCCTCAAAGTCACACACAGCCTTCTTCCCATTCACTGCCCAACGCCCTTCTCTCTCCTATTCCCCCCCCCAGCCAAGGCACTCTTCCCTCTGTATTCAAAATATTTCAGCCGCTACGCACAACTTGTGCCTGCCGCCCAGGAACAAAACAACTACAGGGAGCTTAAGGCATCCTCGCTATGTTCGGTATGCGGCAATTTTTGTCGAAATAATATATTTCTTTGGGTTCATCTACCACTCATGCACCGCCACCCCATTATTTAACCTTCTATTTATCTCCATGTTCAGCCCTGCCACTCCCTCAACTTTTGGGCGGCACCCCCTCCTTCCCTGCCATTTTTGGTTTTGCAGCTACCAAACCCACAACCCCCCCCCCACCCCGCAAATCATTGGTGAAGAGAACGTTATAATCCAACGTGAATAGCACGTTGCGACTTGTGGCTGGATATGCGGCAGACAAACCACAGCGTACTTGCGTTTGAATCTACACACTTGTACAGTTCGGGCAGCTGCTCGTGGCGAACGCCGCACGCCTTAGCGATTCGCTCTCTTCTTGCCTTGCGGGAAGTACGAACAGCTCCCGTGCTGTAACGGTATTTGCAAGTTTGCTGCTGGGAATTCAAAATTGGAATGCGACTCGGGCTCCTGGAAAAGAGGCGAGATGCTCTCAGCTGAACGACACCAATGTCCTAAAAATTATCCCTCTTCACGAGAAATTAGGGGCCAATTCACCCAATGTTTTTGTTTGTTGTAAATATGTCTTAATATTGCTGTTAAAACTAAATATACAGTAACATTACGAGGTTTATTTCCTGCAGATTATTTACATTAAAACGAAGAATCTGTCGTTGGAGAGACAATAGAGCCATGGGGGGGGGGAGGGGGGGGTAGATTAAAATAAAATAAAGGTATCCTGTAGTCTGTTGGCTTGAATTCGGTCATGTATCCTTGATGGATTAAACAAAGCCGCCTTGCATCATATCCCCTCGGCTATAGCTCCTCAATGCAGTATGTGCTGCTTTATCATAATTAAAGTCGTTTCGTCCCAAGCCCACCCTATCCCCCCCCCCTGCTGTTCTCTGGGACCCCACTTGCTCCTCCCGCACTGAGTCACATTAGCACCCACAAGACCGTAAAAACGGTGACAACAGCTCCCTCGATGCATTTACTAAATTGCAGCACCGGCAAAGTGGCAGAACTCGTTTTAAATCATTTTTTTAAATGCCTGCCCCCTCATGTCCTTTGACCCATCATGTCTGAGTGAGTCAGACCTAGTCACGGTCACTTCACAAGTAAATGAATAACAATCCGGCCTCTTTTTACAGCCGCATACAGTGCGCACGAACTGCCGTCACGAAGGCCATTCCAAATTGAGCTTCGTTCAGCTACGACCACCACCACCACCGCCACCACCGTCACCACCACCGCTACCACCATAACTCCCCGCCACCCCTCTCTCGTCATAATCGAGCCTAATCGTTGGAAGTTCAATCGCGTGCACTTTGGTTCCCTCGCCGACGGCAGCTAAGGTGCCGCCAAGGTCAATCGGTGCACCATTGCCAGATGACCGAATGGGAGGGTGTGAGAGAACTCAAAGAACAACGGCCCAACTCAGCTGTTGTGTAATTGTCCCGATCAATAACGACAGCTTGCCGCACACAAGCTGAGCAACGGCAAGCTGTAATATAAACAGCGTGTGGTTTCTGTGTATGAGCGTGTGTTTGCTCCCATTTATTAATTAATGATAGTAATAATGGAGAGCAGTACAGCATAGTAGGCGTCTGGTCAAGTTCAGGCTGAAGTCCTTGATCTTCTCTTCTGCCTACGATTGACTGTCACTCTCCATAAGATCAATGTGCCCACTGTTTCCGTGCAGTTTTGTGAGACGTGGTCACATTCAGACGTTACCGTCTAACTCTGGATTATAAGACATACGCCACCCCCCCCCCCCCCCCCCCCCCAGTATTTTAAAAGGATGATGGTGCGTCTTATAATCGGGCATGTGTGTGTCTGTGGCGAGATTAACCGTACTGACATCTGGCATAAGTCTGGGGTTGCTCTTACTTTCCAGAGCATCTTATTAGCTGCAGAACACTATATGTAAAACTACACAGCATTGTAATTGTGGAAATTGAGTGATTATTTTCTACGTATGTACAAACGCGCGCATTAATTTTCTTCCAAACGCATAAGCACTCGAAAATAAATAAATAAACGTGATGAATAAATAACAGGCAGGATCATGACCCCACCAAACACGGTCTTGAGACTCGGTGAAGCTTTTCTGGGTAAAATAAATAAAAATATACAAAAGTAAATAGAGCATGACATATTTTTTTTTACAGTGTGCCTTCCGCACAAGTCTCCTCGCATGGCACTTAGCAGGAGAAAAAAACAACTCAACACCCACACTGAACCGACAATAAAGCGGCCATGAAAATCAAACAAGAAACACAATAGCTTTGTATGGCCACCACTGCCTCGGTCCCCGCAGCAATCAAAGGAGGTTCACTCCTGGCATGAGTCAAGTGGTCATTTGCTTTTGATGGGGTAGAGTGTGAAAACTGAATTCCTTCACTGTAGGTGATAGAAGTCCCGCACCTGCGATTAGCACGGTTGGCTACGTACGGTGCGAAAGAAGTTCAACATACATAACCATGTCTAATGGGCGATCTGGCCAATGTGGAAATGTTGGCTTTATGTCCAAATTCACAAAGTAAATCACCTTGATTGCCCCTGCATCTTGTTCGATGTCAGAAACTAAGAGGGTCCAAGGCTGGTTCGTGTTTGGATTGTTGGAGATTAATGCTTGCCAGGTGTCGTAGGCATGGAGTTGCCAAGAGGTGCGAGGTGCAAACAGTAGAGGGCTATACAGCGATGGGTTTCTAGTCCACGGATAGATTTGGTCTACTAGCTGAATTAAGTCTGTGCATTGATTCTATCTGAGCAGAGACGTCAGTGTTACCCCGTCGTATTCTTGAGTTTTCTCTGGGTATTCCGGTTTCCTCCCACATTAAACTAAATAGTCATTCGTCGAACTAAAAAAAACATTCCGATGCAGGGCCCTCCTGGAAGCTAGTAGTAACACTTAGGGAGCCTTTACAGGATTAACATATGGAATTAATATTATTATGTTGACTCCTTGCAGTGGTATGAAGTGATGTGATGCTCCCGTGGCATGACTGACGGTTAGCACACTGGATTTGCAATCCAGAAGTTGCCGGCATTGTGGACGAGGTGATTTTCCGTCTCGCCTCGCCTCGCCTGCTTCCTATGAGAGAAGCCGCTACAGGAACCGTGACTCAACTTCGAGTCAAGGAGACACTGACTCCATCTGGAGAATGGGAATGCTATTTATAATGAATGAATAATTAATTCATTTTCAGACAATTATATATTTGTTTGGGTAAAAAATAAAATAAAATAATAATTCGGCTCAAAGGTATTTTAGGGCCCCTTCTGGAGCATCGTTGCCATAAGCATATGTTCGTATACGTAACGGCCCGTTTGTCAACCCGCTGTTGGCTGAGGACCTTCCCACGCCGTGAAGGCAGGGAGCATCGATGAGGGTGCACAGGAGTATTGCACAATATTAGGTCGACTCAGCCTCAACTGAATACCTGGTGTGCGGTGTAAACATCGCCACTGGGGAAACAAAGGCGGTCGGGCGTGGTGCTGGTCCCCCACCCCCTCGTGTGCCGTGCCGAACTTCATAGGTGCCCGTTAACAGCACTTGCCCCAACAGTCTGTTAAAGACTATACGGGGGAACTTTGGCTTTGCAATTGTACAGTACAACAATGGATTTTGAACGGCTCCCCTCTGCTGCCCACCAAATATAATCCACAGCCTCTAACTCCTGTTGTTGCACGTGTGATCACCCAACCAATCACTTTCAAGGTTCATAGCTGCTTAGCATCCGAGATCTGATAATCAGCAGGGTGCATGCGAGTTGATTTGTCTATGGGGAATAATGTGCCAAGGTAGGCGCATTCTGGACTGGCCTCAACTTTCAGAGTCTAATCAGCAGAGGCAGACTTCTTATGTTGCTTGGGTTATCTGACAATGTATAGGCAAAGGCCGACAAAAAAATGTCCGTGGCGGGATCTTGTTTCACGAAATAACCTTATTGCCACGATGGTAAAATCTTGATTTGAAGCTTTCGTGACTGCATGAATCCATACTCTTTGGTTCTTTCGGTAAAGTCACGTAGGAAGAAAATTAATAGATCGCATCTATTAATTTTCTAAAGGTTTTTTGGCTGCATGCACATCTATTAATTTTCTATCTACGTGACTTTACCGAAAGAACCAAAGCGCCGCGATGGTCTACATTTTTTCAGCGTTTGGACACTTG